AAAAAAAAAAAAAAAAAAGATGTATTTTTGGGTTCAGGAGTAATTTCAAAGTGGTCAAATAATCTTTTTATCATAAAGCCATCTCAAAGGCAAACAAATTTCAGAAAGTTTTGTACCCCATACTAAAGCACCTTGGAAACCACTTCGAGTCAACCTGTTCATATTTTTGCTGATATTCTCTTTGGGCAGAGTGCCTAAACAAATATTAAAGAATTCTTTCCCAACCAATATTCCTAGATTTAAAGGTACTACATTTTCACCGAGAGTTCTCAGGCATGGGGAATGACTAAAAAATATATAGATTTGACTGGTAATTTACACTATACAATAATTTATTTTGCTGTTTTGAGTAGAAAAGGTGGATAATTCCTTTAAGTCTAATCATAAAGGGTAAGACACATGCTCTAGAGAGTAAAACTTGCCTGGGTTTTAATTTTGACCCTGCCAATTTATAGCTATATAATATTGGGAAAATTACTTAACATTTTTGTGCCTCAATTTCATTTGTTAAATGTGGATAATAATAATACTTATCTCAGAAGATTGTTGTGATGATTAAGATAGTTTATATAGGCCAGGCAAGGTGGCTCATGCTTATAATCCTAGCATCTAGGAGGTGAGGCAGGTGAATTGCCTGAGCTCAGGAGTTGGAGACCAGGGTGAGCAAAGCAAGACTCCCCAGTATCTACTAAAATTAGAAAAGCCAGGTATTGTGGCAGGCACCTATAGTCCCAGCTACTTGGGAGGCTGAGGCAGCAGGATTGCTTGAGCCCAAGTTTGAGGTTGTGTGTGAACTATGACGTCTCGGCACTCAACCCTAGCATGACAGAGGCGAGACTCTGTCTCTAGAAAAAAATTGGTTAATATATGTAAAGTATTTAGAAGAATGCTGGGCCCACAATAATGTTCAATGTTATTTTATATATGGATTATATATATATATATTTTCTTGCTTTTGGTATGGGGTCTTGCTATATTGCCCAGGCTAGACTCAAATTCCTGGGCTCAAGGAATCCTACCTCAGCCTCTTGAGCAGCTGGGACTGCAGATGTGCACCACCATACTCAACTAAATTATACATTCTTAATCTTCCTTTCCTGTTAAAAATGTTTAATATCTTAGTAAATTATATGCAAAAAATATAATAGAGCCAGGTAAGTGCCTTATGTGCCTACAGTTCCAGCTGGATTCCCAGTTAGAGTCCAGCCTGGGCAACATAGCTTGACCCCATTTCTTAAAATAAAATAAAGAGAGTATGTAATTCTGTTCCTTTTAAAAATATGTTTTTATGTAATTAAAGTAAGTATAGAAAAAACTTAGAAAAATATGTACAAATTACTAAACATATTTCTGGGGAGTATGTTTAAGACATTTAAGATTATGTAGGCCTAGACCAGGCATGGTGGCTTACACCTGTAAGTCTAGCACTCTGGGAGGCCAAGGAGGGTTAATTGCTTGAGCTCAAGAGTTCGAGACCCACTTGAGCAAGATCGAGACCCAAACCTCGTCTCTAAAAATATCTGGGCATTGTAGTGGATACCTGTAGTTCCAGCTACTTGGAAGGCTAAGGCAAGAGAATGGCTTGAGCCTGAGAGTTTGAGGTTGCTGTGAGCTAAGACACCATGGCACTCTAAGTGAGTCTCTCTCAAAAAAAAAAAAAAAATTACATAGGACTTTCTTCAGTATAGCTTTGTGAATAATTTAACACATGAAAAAATGTATCTTGGCTTGGCGCCTGTGGCTCAAGCAGCTAAGGCGCCAGCCACATACACCTAAGGTGGCGGGTTCGAATCCCCAGCCTGGGCCCGCCAAACAACAATAATGGCTGCAACCAAAAAA